AGAAATTATGCAAGTAATTGCTTGAAAAAGCTATGCAGGAAATACCTCCTACACACAAAATTATACAATAGGTGTTTTTTATTTAATTAGGGAAAATATTAGTAAAGGTCAGTTTGACCATTTTTAAAGATTTTGTAGCACCAACAGCCTTTATCCAAAGTAATTATTAGGGAAATTGGCATAAAGAGAAGAAGAAAGACATCTAGAAAGGCTTCTTTGGTAAGGAATTGAGCCTTGGACTGCAGTCCCAGGGATATTTAGCTTCTGCATGTTGAACACTCACTCTACCACAACACAACATGCCACCCTCCTTTGTTGTTTTCTGTCTTGTAGATAAAATAGATCTGACAGGGTACACATTCCATACCACTTTGTTTGTGATGTGAAATCTCCTGTACATATTTTTCGATTGTTTGCATACAGTGATGGATTGAAAGACCAGCATTAAATTAATGCACACTATCAGCTTGTGGTTGGTGGATGGGGCTCCAAGGCAACATAAAGACAAATACCAAACATTGCAGCTCTTGTAGCTGCTCTTCTTTCATGCTTTCTCTGTTTCTTTGGTACTTATTCTTCCATGGTTGTATTTCAGTGCCATCTTAGATGGGAAAAAAGTAAACAAAAATGTAACAAGAGACAATTTTTTGTTGTTAAACAACATGCATATGATCCATGGAATGCCTCAATGCATAACGTTTGACCGAAGTGTTAGCTTTATTTAAGGAATTTTTCAGGTCCAAATAAAGCACTTGGTGTGTATTGACACTCTATGCCAGCTGGTTATCTCAGAAATTCACCTGTGTAACCTGAGAGGGACTGATCTGCCGCTGAGTGACTGACATTTACCTGATCAAACTCTTTTTTTTTTTTTTTTTGGTTTTAATCTAGACAGTGAATGTGTTCCTGTCTTTACATGTAACCAGTAGTCTAGTTTTAAAAAAAAGGGGGGCAGTGAATTTTTAATTTTTTTTTGGAAGCATACATACCCTAATTAATATATATATATTCACCTAAAGCAATATGCATGGTATGGTTGTTACATGTCAGGTCATTGACCTTGACCAAGGCACCTTAGAGTAGAACTGCAGTCAGTCCCTGGATTGTCATGGCTGTCACTGCCCCTACATAGTTAGGGACATATACAGGTAAGACAATTACTCGTAAGCCCACAGCCCGCCACATGTTGAAAGGGAACTATTGTTGCAATTACTGTTAATATATAGTAGAAATTTTACACATTCAGTAATACATTACATTTTTTTAGGAAGGGGGATACCACCCCCCCCCCCCCCCCCCCTCATCTAGAGTACTGCATGTAACTCCATGACCTCTTAATCTGCTGATCCATAATGATCTGCTATCAGTTTCCAAAACACAAAGAGGGATTGTTTAATTTTGCCTCAGTGCTGAGTGGCTTTCAGGAGCACTTAACCTCGAAGTCACAGGTCACTAAATTATTCTGTTTAGAAAGTCTGGTGCTTTTTAATGTCACCATTGGTGGCCTTTCATGTAGTGTTGTTTTAGTTTACTCAATTAGCTGTATTGTTTGTTGATTTATACAGTTTTTGATAGTTTAGTTTACCAGTAGCAGGGCGATATGCACTTAAAATCTTATTCCAATATCGGGTGATATTATTGTAGGAATGATAAAAGTGTGCCATAAAATGGGACAGATGGAACCAGTATTCAAGGTGAGACAGTCAGTAGGAAAGTTCAAAACATTATAAAAAAAAAAAAAAACAGAACTGAAGCGAGGAGCAGCGGACCTCGTGGCTGCAGGGGGGCGGGGCGCAACCCATCTCTGATTCTGGAGGGAGAAATAGAGGTAATGATAATCTCAGTGAGTCACTTACCTGGTTTCACAGTTCAGTCCGTCTCCTGAGAAAGAGGTGCGATCAAGCCAATGGGCCGCCAACCAGAAGCGGTGTGTGGTGCCCAGAGTGTCCCTGATGCTGTAGCCCCGGAGATCTTGCAGAAAGCCGATCCAGGTCAGGGGAAGCCAGGGTAGGCAGGAACAGTTCAGGAATCCAGGAGACCTCCGCTCAATCGGAGGTTCCGATTCAATCCTCAGAGTGTGAAGGAAGGTTTACTGTAGAGTCAGGCGAGTCCAGAAGCTTGCCCAGACAGACACGCACAGATGCAGACAGTCAGGCTCAGATGCAGAAGGGGAGGCTCACTCGTTGAGGGAAACAGAGACAAGACGTGGTACCAGCTTTAAACTGATCTTCTCCTTGGAGCCAGCTTACGGGAATAAAATTGACCTTCTCCTTGTTCTGAGCCAAAACCGAGGGGAGACGACCAGGACACGATCTGAAGACAAGAGAAACACTAAAAACCCTCTAAATCCACCGGCCGCCAAGAACCAGGACATGAACCATGGATTAAACTTAACTAACAGCCATAAACAAACTGACAGCAAACAATGGTCTGGCCTCGATAGCTGGGCTGAGCCGAATATAAAGACACAGACGCAGGTGGATGAGATGGGTGGTAATTACAGACCAGAAGGAGTTAGGCAGAGGAGTGAAATGAACAATTAAGGCCAGCTATCGGGCAGAGTGACAAAGTGACGATTTTTTTTTTTTATTATTATTACTTCATCACGGTCTTTATCACATAACTCTACAAGTGTGACTGCTTACCACAGCCATCATGGGCACAATCAAGAATAATAGTCTTGAAGAACATTCACATTTAAATCTAGCTTCTTCAAGACATAATAGTATATATCACTATTGCAATTTAACAAAATTACAATTACAATTACAACTGCAATTTTAAAATCTCAGAGTCATTGCTTGTTAATCACACTATTATTAATGAGAGTAAAACACAAAATGTCTCCTTCCAGCCCTTTAGGTGGTGTTAAACACTTAAAAATGGTTTGTCTCCACACAGCAAGGCAGAGAGAGTTGCAGCTAGCAACAGATTCATGCATGCAAGTAGAAGTAAACACTTTTTCACACAATGGTTACAGAAAAGTCCTGTAACAATGGACTCTGGGGAATCAAGCTTTAAAAAACAAAAAGCCTGTGGTCTTTAATATCTACAGCTTGAGGTTAGTGCAAAGGAAAATCCAAATAAAATCGCAATTTTGATAAAAAATAATAGCAATTTAGATTTTTGGCAAAATCGTTCAGCCCTAGTAGTAACTGCATTTATTTATAGTTTTTAAATATGTAAATTTCTTAATTAGCATATACATAATAAATTAAAAAGATAAAATAGTAAAAATAAAAACAATTCATTCTGTTTATGGAGATTTTAATCATCGTTGATTCTAATCTACCATTTATTAACACATCCTCATAATGACTAGCAACTTGTCTTGATGATGATAAAGATATGATGAATGCCCACCCCTAACCACTAATGATTAGATATTGTCTGTTTAATGATACATTTTTATTCCCACTTTTATCCACAGGTGTAACAGAAATAGTCAAAGCCATCCTCTCATTGGGTTGGTTCAGCTCTAACCAAACTGCTGTCCTATTATAACTCTCTCTTACTATCAAACAACACTTGACTCCCTCCAACTTTTAATGCTCCACATTTGAACACTCAACCCCCACCTCCCCTACCACATCCCACCCTGCCCACCATCACTAAATATAGTCTCCATGAAGCATGGCTGCGTCCTTTCTTCCTGAAACGCTGCAAGACAAAAGTCTGTCATCTTCCATCTGCAGCAACGGGGACAGAAAGCAGAGATAAGACTGATGACTATAAAAGTAGAAGAGTCATTAAAAAGTAGATAAACATCTGCCTCAGCATGTGGGTAAATGAATAAAAGGATAGAGATCCAGGAACAAAAGGTGCAATTTTAACAATGTCGGAAAGTGAGACATAAAAAGAGAAAAGGAAAGGTTTATGGCATTTCCTGCCATCATTTTTCTAATTGAGCTTTCAAAACTGTGGAAACCTCGAGGAGTAATGAGTCTGGCAGCAGATGCATTATAACAAACACAATGATGGATAGTTATGACTGTGTAAGTGCTTCTATAGGCATAGAAAAGATGATGTGTATGGAGGAGAAGACAACCAAGAGATAAATATTGTTGCACAAGGCAGCGTACAGAACTTAGAGCTTATATTCAGCACAATCTCTCCCCCTAATGGTGGAAAGGAGTCATTACATCAAGAGCAGGTTAAACATCACTGCAGTCGAGGACAATTCCCTTCTCATCAGCTCACCTGCAGGAGCCTTTGTAATGATTTCTACTTTCTCTAATTACAGACTATGTAATTTACATAATAGGTGTACTCAATATTACACACAGTGTAGGTAGCAGGCAGTCACAGCACCCACACAGCTGTTCAGTGAGTCAACTAAGGGAGTTATTTTACTATCACATCTGCTTGACCACAGAGAGGTTCTGCCTACCTGCTAACAGCAGGCTCATCCGATCGTAACGGCTCCCTGAGGAGCTCGCCCAGTGATGGGTACGGCGTGCAGACCGGTTCCCCTGCAGCCAGAACATACATCGTCACTGACAGGATCTCCTTCTACCTCAATGACCCAGGCATGCTCAGGGCAGGGGATAACACCCAGGAGGGCAGATTATCATTCCCAGCAGAACCACAGGCCGTCCCCAGGATGCTTTAAGTGAGAAAACGTGTTTTTTCACATGTGGAGAGAAGTCCAAGCTGCAGTCCTGACATGTACTGTATATAATCCACAGTGAGATTCTAACATTTAAAAAGGGGGCATATTACTGTTTTAATCACCTATTTCATTTATTTTCTATTCCTCCATTCATTCTTTTAAAAATGAAACATCAAGAAAGATAAAAGAATGTTGAATGCTTTCCACTTATTTGGTTCATATTTGTCTGATTTGATAGAATCTATGAAATCTAAATTGGAAGATTTAACTTAAACCAATAAATACTTAAAATTGCAATTTCTATTAATGTCAGTCAAATGTTCGATTGTTACTCTGAAGCAATTATTTTTTATTTTTTTTTGCTCATCCTGATCCTTTTTCTTTTTAGGCTGCGGAGAGAGGGATACACTGTGCAGGTCAGCGTCAACGACTACCTGGACATCTACTGCCCGCATTACAACACCAGCCAGCATGGGACTCTGGAGCGGGTGGTAGCAGAGCAGTACATCCTCTACATGGTAAACTACCGAGGATACTACACCTGCAACCCCCAGATGGGAGTAAAACGCTGGGAGTGCAACCGGCCCCACGCGCCCCACACACCCATCAAGTTCTCTGAGAAGTTCCAGCGGTACAGCGCCTTCTCGCTGGGCTACGAGTTCACCGTGGGCCAGGAGTACTACTACATCTGTGAGTCACTAGCTCATTGTGATGGATGGAAAAGGCCTGAGGGTGCTGCACATCCAATATCTGTGATCGGAGGCTGTAATTTAGAGTGTCTCTTCACCCACATGTATCGACGGCTTGTGGGTTTTGATAATAGATCCTAGAAGTTGAGCTGAGGACATTCAGTTTCCTGCAGCCACAGTTTTTATTAAAAAGTCTTGTATTTGATCAGATTTTTTCACATAAGAACCACAAATGAATGGGTCTTATTTCGATTGTAATTATTTCAACAGCACATGAGGGGCATAATTGTTATATGAAAAATATGACATGGCTTAAGAAGGATTTATTATTAATTTGCTCATTTGTATTTAACCCTTTTTACTCTATTACAGCCTGTGCAAGCTGTAGTTCAGTACAAGCAGCTGCCTTCAGGAGTTTTTCATGATCAGTACACAGAGTTGTCCTTGAATACCTCAGTGTCAATAAACCCACAGCTGGTTTACAAAGGATCCAAAGGTTTGTTGGAGAACATTGGTAAAAAAAAAACAACATGATAAAAAATGAAAGAAAAAAAAACACACCAGATAGGCCAAGGATAAAGATATGGATAAATTTAAAGCAGGATTGGATAGCAATCCATCCATTTTCTGTCACGCTTATCCAAAGCGGGATCGCAAGTGGTGCTGATGCCCATTTCCAACTGTCTTTTTGAAGAGTGCTTTTTAATCCATGATCTGAACCTAGCTTAGAAATGGCTGACCATCTAAGCTGACAGGCTGGGCGAGGACCATGAGGAGGAAGAGCTGCAGCTCAGGGTATTTCGGAAAAGTGGAAGCAAGAAAGCTATTGTTGAAGGAAAGCCGTTAAAAGGAATCTATATCAGCAGAACCACAACGATTCACATCCATCAATCAGCAACTTTTGTAAACGCAGGACAAGTCTCGCTGAAGAGCACTAAGATGTTGAAACTCCTCAAAATATATGGTAGTTGTTTTGGAAGCATCAACAATTTTCTTGTGATTTGTGTCTCAATGGGAAGAGAAATCAGAAGGTTGTGTTTTAGATTCATTTTTCCCCCACAAATGCCAAATGCTTTGATTGAGAGACTGAGTGAGCGTATTATAATGTATAGTCTTGAATAATTTTGATTGGTTTATGCGACTCAAAAAGAGAAATGTTTATTTTAGGGGTCTGCAACCTGTGGCTCTGGAGCCACCAGTGGCTCCTTGGACCCCCTACAGTGGCTCTTAACAGTGGCTAAGACTGAAGAATAACTTAAGGTTTTATATAAAGTATAACAAATACTAGCCTTTTCATTAGCTTTTTTAATTATTTTATTTTTATTTTCCACAAAAAATATTATACAGAACAAAATCCATCCAATGCTTTGTTTTCTTTGTCCTAAAACCTTCAAAATACTAATAAACGGTTGGTTGTTACTAATGGCAACATATTTTCTTTAGCCAATATTGCCTTGTTTAGTTGAATCTTTCATAAGCAGACTAAAAAAGGGTCTCTAAATGCCACAGTTTGCAATAGAAATCATTTAGTCTGTGCTCAGAAGCACTAGTTGATATGATCATTTGTTATTATGCATGCCTGAAGATTGTCACACATGTAAGAGATGCTCTGATCAGATGAGACCAAAATTGCTACTCATCCTCACTGTTTTCTTACAACGATACATGGTGTTAGCAGCATCATGCTATGGGGATACTTTTCATCAGTATGAGATAGGGAAGCTGTTCAGCATTAATGGAAGTAAGGATGAAGCCAAATATTGGACATATCTGGAAGTCTGGAGTCTGCAGAAGATCTGATATTGATGCAGAATATTTACTGTTTTCTTTCTTGAAAAAAACAAAATGAAATGTTGCTAAGGATGAATTACACACAGATGGACTCCTAAGGTGTATTTTTTCAAGGGTGTCAAAGTGAAGGAGGATGTATACATCCTCCTGACACTTATCAGGTTTCACATGGATCCTTCTTCCTCCACTTCACATCTGTGCTCTACTTTAGAGTGGTCTATTACTGAAAAAATCCCATAGAAAAAGATGGAAGTTTGTGAGGGTGATGTGGCCTGCAGAGGGCACAAGGTTGACATATTATGTGTGTTTGTCCCCTATTTTAGCCACACCCATCCACCACCATGGCCACAGCTGCCTGAGACTGAGGGTCTTCGTCTGCTGCTCCACTGGTGAGACTCCTCTGTTTCCACTCTAGAGTCTGATGTGGCTCTTTATGACCTACAAACACAAAGAAACAACGTGATGAAAAAAGAAATAAAGAAGATCTAAGGGTTGCATCTCAGAGCGGCGAGAGAGAAGGCTCTTCTGCCTCACGCTGCCTTGACGAGGTTTTGATGATGCAGTTTCCTCCCTCAAAGCAGTCCTCTGAGAATGACAAGCTAATGTTATTCTCTTTCTCTGTGCTATTACAGTAATGTTCTGTCTCATTCTGTGACTGACATGCTGTCGTGAAGATCTGCAAAAGATGTGGAGAAAGTAAAAAAAAAATGCATTCAGCTGTGAGATTCAGATCTTTCAGCCCTCCTCTTCTCTGTAAATCCTCTTCCTCTGCTTTCTTCTTGACCACCCCCTCTGCCTATCTCCCCGTCTCCCTTTCTTTCTCTCTGATGCCTGCTGCTCTGTATAGTACGCGTGTTATTTTTACCCTGGTAGTCTGCGCTCTCCCCTGCAGGCCTTTGATCAGGCAGCGTGGTAAAGAAAGCCTCCCCCCTCTCCTCTAACCTTGTCAGCACTAATACATCCCACTTTCCCAGGCCAGCGTCATTCCCCATGTACAGATCACCTCAGCTCACCCTGCTGTCGCTGCCAATCTGTTGATGCTCCCTTATTTGCATGTAGTTGAGTCTGATGATTTAAAGCTTTTGAGGGTGTTTTATGTCTGCCTGCACATTTCCACCCTCGTTTTGTCTGATGTAGGTGCATTTATTGAAGGGTTCGTTGCATTCAGTCATTTTTACAGCTCGCCATCAGAAGTGTCTTTCATTTCAGCTGCCCTGATCCATCTTTAACCTTGACAGAACAGGGCTTCAGAATAAGACAAAGGGGGTGAATATTCATGAGTTTGCTCCTCCCGTCTGTGCATTATCAACAGGAACTCATTTAATTTGCTTGAATAAAAAGAAGGTTGCTTATAATTTGTCATTTGCAAAAGGTAACATAATTGCTGTGTGTATTGCTGCTCTTGAATGAAAGTCATAATGTCTTGAAAATAGGAAGCTAACTAAAGTCAGTCATTTTTTTTTTTATTTGGGGGAAAAGAAGGTTTCTTCAGTTCCTCCAAACTATCAACCCCTGTTCAGTCTTAATCTGCTTTACCGTCACAAACTGCAAACATTTCTGCAAATAGTTTCATGATCATTTAGTCAAGTGCGTTGGATTGGCTTGACCTTGTTGCAGCTTTTTCTCTTAAAACCTTGGAAAACAGCTAGGTTGAAACACAAATTTCCACACTCCTCATTGTGCATTTAGTATTATTTATGAAGAAATTGCATACTTTTATATAAATATATAAATTATGTCATAATGGGGTTAATGTCTGAACTTTGGTAAGTGGTATTCGATAATCTCCTGGTTAGAATCTGTGGACTGTTCTGACCTTACTAGGTCATTCTGGGCTGGACAGGGCTCCTTTAAAACTAAGAATTATTGCTGCCATTTTTGAATGGTCTGATGTATAGCACAGCTCTACTTCTGCCCAAGGTTAATCTATGCGTACACACAACTTAAAAGCCATGTGCCAGCTATTCAAAGAGCAAACTGAATTTAATTCTAAGTCTAGACAAACAGTCAAAGTAATGACAGTCCCTAAATAAATTCTTTAAATCCTCCAGGCGCTGTCTGGATTTACAGTACACAATTTCTCAACTGTTTCTCCAATCCACTTTAACTCCACCAAGCTGACCTGTTAATGTACACAGATTAATCCTGCTGCAAATCTCCGTTTTTTTTTGTGTGTGTGTGCGTGTCCCTTCCTATAACTGATTTTATCTTCCATCTTCTCTCCATCTGTCTGTCTCTGGTATGTTACAGCCTCCCAGGCAGATGATGACTCCAGTCAAACTCCCGACTACACAGTCAGACCGAACATCAAAATACACAACATTGGTGAGTGACACTAGTCTATGGAAGCAAGCTGGACTCCATGCTGGCTTCTACAGAAATGTGGCTTATTTATTTCTTTTGATGTTTTTTGCTTAAAACAGTTTTTTAAATTAGGTCAATATTATTATTTTAGTAATTTCCAATACAACTGCAAGAGCTCTGAAGAAATCACTAGTACCAAAACTCCTCCCTTATTATTTCCAATCATGATTCTAAAATATCCAAAATAGTTCAAATCAGGTTCCTACAGGTCTTTTAAAACAATGAAATGCTTTTATATTTTTAATTTGGTGTTATGAATGTTTTACGTTTTAGTCGCTTCAGGTCTTTTAAATTGTACATATGCTTGATTATCTGTACAGGGTTTTTATATAGATGATTAACTCTCTAACAGGGCCGCCATTTATACTTATAAGTATTATTTTTCTCATGTCTATTCATTCCCCGTTGCCTAACAACGAACAACATGTTTTATGTATAGTATAGGCACTTCAAGACATTTTCTTCAAATGTGTGTAATGGCTGGCTATCCATGCCTGAACCTGGACATCTAATGAATAAATTCCTTAGTAACGAAGTTGGGATGTGGTACTGAATTAAAGGCCTGTTTCACAGTTCAGGAGGAATGTGGGCGGTATTTGGTAATCTCCTGGTTAGAATCCACGGACTGTTCTGACCTTAACTGGGTCATTCTTGGCTGAAAAGGGATCCTTTAAAACACAAACTGAAAATTATGAAACCCCTTTTCAGTGCTTCTTGGATCACTGCATGTTCAGAACACGAAAAAAAAAAAAGGAAACCCTTGAATAAAAAGACTCACAACACAGGATTGAACTCTTCTAATTCAGTAGATTATGGTGTTTTTTTATGCAAACACTGGCTCTGTGTGGAATTACTGAGTCACAAAGGACTGTTGGTTGCAGTGTTTGGTTAGCTATTATATTTTAGGTGTTCCTAAATGTTTGGCTACTTAGACCGACTTTCCGCTTCTTGCCACCATCTGATAGATATAATGGTCAGGGTATCTTGTGCAGTTAAGGCTGCACAAGATGGATATACTGATAAGGGCCTTGTTAGCAGGCCTGTGGCTGCTGATTTAGTTTTAGGGGGAGAAAGACTAAAGCTTCCAGTCCATCAGCTACAACCTTTATCTTGACATTTAAGAATATAGATCCTCTCAATAAAATGATATCCTGGATACAGGCAGCTCAAATAACTTTTTTCCTTGGTGTTAGCTCTCAAACTTGGAGATGGAGTAAGTTATTCAGAGAGAGTTAAATCGAAAAGAGTCTGGCGAGATGGTTTGTGAATCTCACCAGTGTGCCACCTGGAGCATCCTTTGTAGCTGCTTTCTAGGTACCTTCTGCTGTGAGGTGACACCAGGCTAGTTCCAGAACTTTCAGGAGGGACTAAAATCCCCTTTGCCTTTAGAGCATCTTCAGATCTTCCAAAATCCATGGATTTCTTTCAAGTGGAAACCTTTGATGGGTCCTTGGTTTGATCTCCAAACCAAAATTAAGACAAAAAAAAGGTCTAGATTCCCTTTTATACATCAATTATATTCAGTAAACAAACTTTTTTTTTTTTCAAATAAGACTTCATGTTATTATGTAGTATATCTTGAAAATCAGCAGCGATTGAAATTACTTAACATGATAATTACAATAAATGATGGGAGTAGACTGAGCCAAACCTCTGAAACTGAATTAGCCTCATTGCTGACCTTATTACAATCTTCATTTGTCATTGTCATTATAAGATTAATTATTTCCTCTATCAGCTGCATTAATCCAGTCATAACGCCACACGGTTTCATGGCCTCACGTGATTCTACAGGAGAATGATCTTAATGAGAGGCACACATTGAGGCATAAAGAACACTTGCTTTTGGACGCCATGGAAAAGGGTTTTTAGGAATTTCAAAGTAATAAATATTTACAAAAAAAAAAGCAGAAGAACAAGATTATATATTAATTGTTTCAGTACTACAGTCCTGGAAGCTACAGCAACAGTACTTTTTCCAGTCTTTCAGCTACTATTTCTTCCTATTTACAAGAAAGCCACCAAGAAAATTGAGGTCTTACATGAAACGAAAGGTTGGTGTTTACTTAAGGAGAGCAAATGTCAGGGAAAGAGTCAGTTGCTCAGAGTAGTGGTTATATAAAACCTCTGTTTTCCTTTGTCTTTTCTTATCCCCATCTCAAACAAAAGTCTTTTGCTGGGAATCATTTAGCAGGCTTTTTTTTTGCAGGGGCTGCAGGCAGTCTGTGACAAAAGAGTGTAACCCTTCTTAGATTGGAACCGCCACCAGCAGAGTCTACCCCCCCCCAAAAAAGCTGCAGTCATAAGCATCGTGATCAAAGAGTTAAAGAGAAACAGTGGGACAGGAAAAGAATACAGGAGGGACAAAGAGGAAGTCAGGGATATAAAAGATACTGGAGAGAAATGCAGCAGTAAAGTACAAAGGACAGATGAGGAACGAAAAATAAAACTGAGTAGTGGGCGAATAAACAGGGAGAGAGTGGATAGCCAGTAAAAAAAAAAACTCAGTGGTGGCTGGATTGCTCAGCAGTATCTCCGGTTCCAGCTTACCTAGAATTTAATACACATATTCCCTGGCAGGAAATCATAAAAAATCATAGCCTCCAGTGCCGTGATTCTTTTTGCTGAATACATTTGGAGGAGGATGCCCAGATTGATGCACATGCACAGACTCTGACACACTAAAAAACCTCCAGTAGCTCCAGTGACCGCTGGACTCCCACTCTCTGACTCAGCCTCAGGACCAGACCAGCCCACAGACTGGCTCAGCATCAAAGTTTCTCCATCGCATATGTTTAGCCTTTTTTCATCTTTTTTTTTATCCTACATCATTATCTAACTTCCTGCGTCATATTTTCTTTATTTAACTCAGTTTTTAAGGATAACGCTGATTGTTGCAGTTTGATTGTCTTTTTTTAGATGGTATATCAAAAGCTTTATCCAGAATATCAGTAAATATAAGCAAATGGTTTAAATTCTGATCAAATACTTACTAATTAGTTATCTTATTAGATGGTCTACCATAGCTACTTGAATATTCAATTAAATAATACTTTAATAATCCCAAAGCAAAATTTCAGTTTTAGTACAGCCGGTCCAAGGGGGACGCAGTGTCTGACGTCTTGCTGCCGTGAAATGCCCTGCCAGACATATTTTTTTATTACACCATATATTTCTGCTGTTCTTCTGTGTAAATGCTTGTGTTAAAACATGTAAAATTATTTCAAATAGTATTAAATGTGTAACATATGTTTGGAGGAAATTGGGTTCTATATTAACTACCTCTTAAGCAGGGGTCACCAATGTGGTCACTAAGGGGCCCCTTAGGGGCCTCATGGGGTGCCCACAGCAAATGCACAACACACCAGTTGGCTAAGATAGAAATGTTATTTTATTCTGTTTCCCTTATTTTTTAATCATTTATAGAGCATTTTATCATTTTATTTCATACAGAATATTTCAGCATTTATAGAGATTTGAAAATGAAAATATCATAAAGAAAATTTGGAGTTAAAAGAAACAATAAAAATAAGTTTATTATGCATGAAATTAAGGTAAACACCGACCCTTCCTTCCTTCCTTCCTTCCTTGGTAGCCCTTATATGACTCAGTACCCATGGAGTAGCCCTCGGCCTTAAAAAAGTTGGTGGCCCCTGCACTAGAGATCTCATGCAAACCAGATCTGGGTGAAAAGAAGGACCCATCTGAGTCCTTGATTTTTTTTATTATCTTGCACTGAGACCTTCATAAGGTGCTAAAATGGTTGCACTATAATGGGTAAAATTTAGTAAGTAAAAAAAACAGCCTGTTTTTTACCCGGGTTCACCAATCAAGTCTGAGTAAATCGATATGGGGCCCAGTTCCACCTGTTGGCCGGGTTATGATGCATGAAACGGGGAGAAACCCTGAAAATGTATAGTATTCAGTAGAAATAGGACTTTGTAGTTGATAGGAAAAGATAAGTGTTTTTGTATGACAATAAAATTGAATGAAAGTTTTTGTAGTTTTTAGTTAAAACTGATTAACATAATGTGCCCTCATCATACTAAATAGATTTTATGACACAAATACAAGTTACTCATATGAAAATATTCAAAAACCTTCAATATCTAAAACTGTAAATATATTTTATACTCATATTGAATATCTCAAATGAAAAACCTGTTTGTTGAATCGTTGTGTCCAGGTTGGTAAAAATCTCCACCTGTGACCTCAAGTTACTCTGCCCTCTGCCTGCAGCTAAAGCGTTGTCATCTATTTTTCTACTCTCCACAGTTCTGTTTTGTCACCAACTTTATTAGAAACATATTAGATTTACTAGATACATGGTACTGTATGTAGCTGAGGGTATAGGCTACTGACACATAAAACTTGGATTGCACCAGTGGAAATAGTTTGCCTTGAGCTGTATAAAAAGTTGAAACTAACTATTGCAGCATGGTGAAAATATAGTGTAGTTTTCTTTTAGGTTTGCAAAAATCATCATGTAGAAAACTCTGTAAAAAGCATGTGAGGAAAAGGGGGAAAACTAACAAAACCATGTAAACACGTCCTCTTTAAATAAAATTCACAGTCAGCCCAAATAACCTGCAAGAGAAAAGTAAGGGGAGACAATTAAATAGCACTCAGACTCTCCGCTGTAAGCATTCATCACACTTAATCAGTTGTTTGTCGAGAAACTGGTACCATTTTGCAGTGTGCATGAGAGCATCGCTTACAAATCACTTTAAGGAACAAGGCTACTGTTTGTTTGCCGCCCGTCATCTTGTCTAAATTGCTTGCTGTTCTTGCCCTATTAAAAAAGAATTTCCACATCTCTGCAATTAATGTTGCTGGGTCCACTGCAAGACTCAACCCACTGAAATGATTGATGAACTATGAAATAATTGGATTTGCTATTTTACTCTCTGCAGCTCAATTCTCTCAGCTTGTTTAGGACAGTATTTATAAATAGCAGCAGT